GTAAGTAGAAACAGATCTATTTTCTTATGATTTAAATTTAATAAAACGTTTTTGTTGTGTAACAGAGGAAAATATATCCCTTACATTTTTGCCGTCTTTGTCATGGTTGTTGTTATGGAATCTCCAGTGGCTGCCAGGGGATTGCAGGGTGGTTTCTGTGGTATCCCAGGCGGTTGCTTGGTTGTTTCTGGGTGGTTGCTATTATAATCCCAGGTGGTTGATATGGTATCTCTGGTGGTTGCTATGGTATCCCAGGCGGTTGGTTGGGTGCTTCTGGGTGGTTGCTATTGTAATTCAAGGTAGTTGATATGGTATCTCTGGTGGTTGCTATGGTATCCCAGGTGGTTGCTTGGGTGTTTCTGGGTGGTTGCTATGGTATCCCAAGTGGTTGCTTAGTTGTTTCTGGATGGTGGGTATGGTATCCCTGGTGGTTGCTTGGTTGTTTCTGGATGGTTGCTATGGTATCCCAAGTGGTTGCTTGGGTGTTTCTGGGTGGTTGCTATTGTAATCCAAGGTAGTTGCTAAGATATCTCTGGTGGTTGCTAAGGTATCCATGGTGGTTGCTACTAAAAAAAAGTGTGGAAGTGCAGAACTCAACCCATCCATACAGAATGTTAATGCAATTAGTTATACCAATACAATTATGGCATTACATTAAAGTAATTTTGCAATCTTACAAACATTATAAACCCCTGAGAAAATTGTATTCAAAAACCTGTTTATCTGGTCAGGAAACATTTATTAGCTGTGAGAACAGCTTATACAATAAGTAGTGATATTATGTAAATCATTTCCAAACGTCTTCTCAAGGGATGCCCGATACTCAAATTTACATCAATGTTTAAATCTAGGGTGCTGTTGATGGAATTGAACAAATCCATTTGCTGGCTGGAGGTTTCCAGGATAAATAAAAAGTAGCTCACAAAATACTGACTTTTTATTTTTTTTTAAGTAGACATTCTTGTTGCTTTTTACTGTACAAAATACACACAAACAAAATGCACTTCTGAGATAAATGGTTTTAAAACCTGTGTTTTGGTACCTAAAAAAGCAAAATGACCGTAACTCTATATTTGGATAGGTGTGATTTGAATGAAGTTGAGGTTGAAACATTGAGGTTGAATGTTTTCTTTGGTGTTTATTTGTGTAATTTTGCTGAGCTCACTTCTTCCACTTTGTTCCTTACAGACACTCACAGCCGAGACTGACTCGAGGCAGGCGTCCTGAAGAGGAGCACGGTGGAATAGTTTTCCTTTTTTTTCCGTGGGCAGTTCCTGCCTTCATTCCTGCTCTAATGTAGAGGCCACACCCACCCACTCCACCCTCATGACGGACCCCTCCCTTTAAAGAGGCTCTGCGGTTGGATTTGTTAATTGCTTCCATTCTTTCCCTTCAGCTTTGGCTCTGCCCCCCCTTTATCCCTCCATCCTCATCTCTCAGTCCTCTGCCAACATGACGGACGTCCACACACTTCTGCTCATCTGCTCTTTGATGGGCGTGTCCCTGAACCTTCCTGAAAGCTCTGCCCACAGCTCTAACCCTTTCTCTGGCCAACATGCCCCACCCCCTGACCCCTGCTATGACGACACAGGCTCTGCCCGCCGATGCATCCCGGAGTTTGTGAATGCTGCATTTGGACAGGAAGTAGTTGCGTCCAGTGTTTGTGGACGCCCTCCTTCGCGTCACTGTGGTGTTGTGGAGCGTGAACAGCGCCCCCCGGTGCGCTCCTGCAGCATGTGTGATGCCTCAGACCCCCGACTAGCCCACCCAGCCTCCTACCTCACTGACCTAAATTCTGCCCACAATATGACCTGCTGGGTGTCAGAGAACCTGCAGGGGTCACCGCTGAACGTGACGCTCACGCTTTCACTGGGGAAGAAGTTCGAGATAACCTACGTCAGCCTGCAGTTCTGCTCTCCTCGGCCAGACTCTATGGCCATCTACAAGAGCATGGACTACGGCCGCAGCTGGACGCCCTTTCAGTTTTACTCTTCCCAGTGCAGACGCGTCTATAACCGGCCAAACAGAGCCATAATCACCAAACAAAACGAACAGGAGCCGCTGTGCACTGACAGTCATACTGATCCGGCGCCACAGAGCGGCGCTATCATCGCCTTTAGCACGTTGGATGGACGACCATCAGGAAAGGACTTTGACTCCAGCCCTGTTCTGCAGGACTGGGTGACCGTCACCGATATCCGTGTGGTTTTTAGCCGGCCACAAACACCCAGGGAATTGCCCCTGCCAGGCAGAGATGGGCAGGAGCCCCCTGGGGCACCCACCCTAGTGCCCACCTACTACTATGCAGTGTCTGACTTCCAGGTGGGCGGCAGGTGTAAGTGCAATGGCCACGCCTCCAGGTGTGTGAGGGAGAAAGAGGGAAAACTAGTGTGTGACTGCAAACACAACACGGAAGGTCCAGAGTGTGACCGCTGCAAACCCTTCCACTACGACAGGCCCTGGCAGCGTGCCAATGCCCGCGAAGCCAACGAGTGTCTGC